AGTCAGTAGGTACATCCACTCTAGTTTTGGTGCATGGAAGTATGATTTGTGAGAACTGCCTCTCACTTTCACTCGGGTCACTAGACGCACCTGGTCTTGCTGCAAGGACTCTGGTATTTATAATGGAGCACAGGCAGTTCAATAATACAAATGTCTCCCAAGATACCCCACACAGGATTTCAATGTTCACTGATCAGATATCAATGCAAAGTATAATCTTTTCTAACCCCACTTGTTGCTGTGCTTGAGACTGTAAGATTCCAAAGACAAGTTTGTACGTGGGAACTGCGCTCCAACATTTAACTGTGCTCCAACGCTTAACAAGTTCACAATAATGCTGCATAAGACTTCTCTGAAGTCTACAGTATGTTCTGCAAAATAGTGGTTATTGGCTTAGAAAGGCTCCAGAACTCTCCTGAAAAGTGCTTTCATTTTATCTTTGCAGAAGATGTTTCCATGAAGTCTTACTACTAGGCACTTCTCCTGTGCTCTATCTGGAAGGTCCCCCTTGATGAGGTCTTTTGATAGTATGGCACTGTTTGGAATTAGCAGTGTTGAATCAAGAAACCTCAAGGGCAAGTCAGAGTCTAATATGTCTGCAACCTCTAGCAGGACCTTAAAAGTATGAGTAACCCCCCCCCCGATAAGTATCTAATGCCTCTTGTACTATTTAGAGTCAAACTGAATTGGAACTATCAAAGAAATAAGGAAGACTGTTCATCTGATAGTTCTGTTTCTCCATCAAATACTAGGAACTACTGGACAGAGACAGATTAGGCTACTAGCTTCTCGATTAAATAGATTTAAAGCTACATTACTCAAGAACAGTTGGTAGCATAAAAACACAGAAGTTTAGAAATCACGCAAAAAACCTCCATACTGTTAGGTCTAATGCTTTGTGATGGCTCTACTTCCTCTAAAACAAGTCTTGTAACATCCCTAAACCTCAGCACCTCCATCTGTACAACAGAATTAACAGCACTATGCTATCCTACAAGACTTTGGGAGGGCAAATGAATACTGTTGTGGGAGTTTCTCAAATACCCTGAGGTATTCAGGCACTTACCTCTATTGAGTATACAAATACATAAATCTACAGAGGAGTATGGGAGGGGAGGGAGGGGCACACAGAGGCCATAGGGGGGAAGAATGGGAATCTGAAAATGACAGTGGCCATCCAAGCTTTGTGAAGGAGACAGTCCTTCTGCTACATCTCACTAGTGCTGATGCTCATTTAGGCCTGAGCCTTCTAGACTCTGGCCACCTCACTTCGTACACACATAGATGAGAGAAAAATCATGAAGTTTTCACTGCAAGAGAGATAGCACAAACTTGGACAGTTTTTCCCCTTGTTGGTTTGTTCCTCTAATACTACATATTACAAGGTTTTTACAGTTCCTATTTACTCTAAGTTTGATTGTCTCCCTGTGACTGATGAGATACTGAAAAAAATGAAAACTAACAGGAGTGAGGAATAAACAAAGCAGAGAGGATTTGGTTAATAAAGTACAGACAGTTCTTTTCCCTTTACATGGTCCAACACTCAAAGTCTTTCATTGCCAGGGTTACAAGCAGCTTTTCACAAGCATTTCTGGTTGGGAATATTGTATTTCTTCCCAGGGACACTATTTTGTTTGTCTTGGCGTGCAGACATTGTAATCAAGTCTATATATTACAGGACTGTGCCTTAGCACAAATGGCAGGCATTTCAAACCCTATTTAGTTTTCTTCCTTGCCCAACAAATTATCTAAAAATAGATAATCAAGACCTCATACTTTACATCTACGTCATTCCTTTTGGCTTAAATGAGGTAAGGAATGCAGCGTTTTTTCCTCTCCTCTTTCACTAACAGTTTGGATGTTTTAGTAAACAGATAAGTCCCCCTTTTTTCCTCCCCCCTCTTATTTTGTCTTGCTTGTGAACAGCCCACAAGCTACAAAAGCCCTGTTATGATAACGTCTTCTTCCTTTTTCTTCTGTTGCACTTTTACTTTTATGGCCTGAAATAAGAGCATTGGAATTGCTGGCCAGATATATCCTCTCCAATCCATGTTCTTCTCTGATCATGATAACTCACTGGTATTTCTGTTCCTACAGAGTATATTATAGCTGTAACTGCTCCATCCTTGGAATCATAGTCTAGGTTTCGTTTCAGAAAAGGATGACCTTACCTTCTGGATCACAGAATACTGGAATGGCATCCTGTGAGAACTTGATGGGATGCAGTTATGTGGTACATCGAGATTTAGCACAAAAGCAAGCTGCTGTCATTAAAGAACTGAGGTGTTGTCCTATTACGGCCACACCCCTGCAGCAATTTGTTTCTCAAAGTACCTTTTAGACAATTAGTACTAAGACATGCTAACAAACAACATAAATATTTGTTATGCTTAAGCTTTCCTATCTATCCATAGCTTAGTTAGAATAACTTTTGTGTTCTCCAATATTTAACTAGTACATGAATGGTAGATTAGACCTAACCTGGGGTCAAATTTGTCTTTGCTTTAAACAGTCATGTCAGTTCTGAACTTGCTTAAATCCACGGGGATTTTCCCATGGCTTTCAGAGGATTCAGACTTGAGTATTAAGTTGGAAGAATGCGTAAAAAGGGAGATGGACTTTAGGTGAAGGAAGAGAGAGAGGGAACAAGTTTTGAAAATGTTTGAGTAAAAAATTGGTAGATTGAGTATCAGAAAGGATTTCTAGACCAGAAATGACCTCAGAATTAGTCACACTGAAAGCAAAGCCATGACTGATGGAGAGACGTATTCAGGGTCTCATCCATGAATCAGTTTCATTTCTGTCCTGCTGTTAATACTCTAAATTAAACTATAGTAAGAATTTCAATTATTTCATTAATTGAGGCCTTATGGACTATCACAATGGAAGCAAAGAATGACAGGCCCCAGTATAACACCGGAAGCAGTTAAATAGAGCCGAATCTGCACCTGGATGCTAAGCCTCTGAAGTGATGGTATGTCTCCAGGCATCATGTGTGCCACGAACACTCTCTGTTCCTTTATTTCATGTATACAACATAAAAAATAACACTTTTGTTTTCCTGTAGGAAGATAAAAGAAAGAAAATACCAGAAGAACAAATACTGAATGAGCAGGTACTTTCTTTATACGATACTCCAGGGATAAGAAATAGATCTAAGGATGTTTGTCGCAGTTCAACAGTGTAAATAACTACTTCACATTTCCCAGGGAAAGTAAACACTCTAGTCTAAGGAGAAGGTTTTTGAGCCAAAACCCTCAGTCTTGTCTTTTTTTTTTTTTAATGGCTGGTTCTTACTGTGTCTAGCTTTCTCTATCTAGTATTACACAATCACACACCCAAACCAAAATTCTCATTTCCACTAGACAGGGCAAAGGAAACATTACAGAGCAGGGAAGACTTCCTCCTTTTGAGCCACCTTATCGGTCCTTATTCTTGCAGTGCCTCTAGGCCACATAGGACACAAGATCTCCTTTGCAGTCGAGGAAGGACAGGTGGTGACTTGACAAGAAATCAGGACCATTATTTTGCTACTGTGATACAAAAGTTGCTTAGCCATGGGCAGTCTGAAAGCAGTTGGTGAGCTCTGGACTAACAGCAACAGTGCTCTTCTACCCTCAAGTGCCTGATGTAATGTGCTCAGAGTAACAGCTTCTCTAAGCAGGTATAAAGTCAACCTGAACTGATTATAGGCAGAATAGATAGGAGAAAAGAGATGAAATTGATCTCAGACTTCAGATCATTCAGTTGTTTGATATACAATGAAAAAAAAAAACAACAGCCATCAGATCCAGATCAAATTTTCAAAGTTGTGGATTATCCTTGTTGATATACATCTTATACAATTTCTTTTTTCCTTATTATTCTTAACCACCATGAGATGGAGAAACCACCAGCAGCTTTGAAAACTTAATTCTGACCTTTCCCAAAGTTTGGGTATGAGAGATCCAGAAAGCTTGGTCTGAACAAAGAGATTACAGAAAAACATGAAAATATGTGCATATTTACAGAGATATCAGTTGTACTTTTCATTCTGCCCAGCTTTAAAAGCCTTATACAATGCTATAGCATCAGCACTCTTTTACACTACACTGCCTAAATTCAGTAAGAAGATGGACTTTACTTCCAAAGAAACTTAGTCTCCAAGTAAGTATATAGCGTGCCATTTCCAAAATCACCTTTTTATTGACGCTGAAGTTATTTTTGGCAGGGGAAGGAAAGTTTTTCCTTCCCTCCCCCTTTTTTTCCAATCACACAAGATTACGGTATGTCCGTACTGTAATCTAATGCCCTGTGGGCAATTCTGTACCTTGCCCAGACGTTTTTGAGTAATATTAAGATGAAAGCCTCCACATTTGTGTCTTTTGAAGAAAAAAGAATCCAACGCCCCCCAAAAAAAAGCCTCTCCAAAAAAAAAAAACAAACCAACCAACCACCTCTGGCAAAAGGTTGCTAAAAGCGATTATTTAATAAGTGGGAATAATGGGATCTAATAAGGAGGATAGGCTACAAACTTTTTTAAAAATACATGTGGGCTTTTTTCTCTCGCTTGTGAACCATCAAACAGACAGCACCGTGATAAGGAAACATACACAAAGGGCTGGAAAGGGGATAAATCACCTCACGGGGAGAAGCGGCGGTACCTGCCCCAAACCGCGTCTTGCCATCGCGCACCAACCTTCTCCGTTTCCCGCGATCCCAGGCTCGCGCCGTTATCCAGCGCCAGCTGGAGAGGCGGGGAGGGGAGCCCCTTTTCTCCTCCCCACCAACACCCCACAGCACCCGGGGTCCCCTTTCGCTGCACCCTCGTTCCCCACAGACACCTTCCTTGGGGCTCTGCGCCTGGGGACAGCGCAGGGGAAGGGATACCCGGCCGCCTCCCGCGCACACGGCTTGCCTTGAAACGAGCCCCGAGCCTTCCGCCACTCGCCTCCTGTCCGGGCTGCGGCTCCTGCCAAGCCCCTGAGCCCACCCAAGAACGGCGCCCGGCAGCGGCTCACCTTGTACTTCATGGCTACGGCGCGCTCCACCATTCCCCCGGCAGCTACTCCGCGTCCCGCCGCATCCCCGCGGGCTGTGCCCGCCCCGGTCCCCGCCGCGCCGCCAGCCTGCCCCGCTCATTTGCATAGCGCCCTCCGCATTGGCCACGGCCCGGCGCGAGCGGCCCCGCCCCCGGCCCCGCTCCCCGCCGGTGAGGAGAGGGGAGGCGGGAGATGGGGGAGTGACCGGAGTTCGGGACCGGGCTCGGCGGGTCTGGCCGCTTCCTAACTCTGGTGTCCAGACAGAGCCCCCTCAGAAAGCGAACGCTGGCGGCCCTGCTCCCTGGGACCCCCGTCCGTGCCTTTTCAAAGATGCTCGCGTCGACTTTTTCCCAGAGGAAAACGACCTGTGGGTGTTGGTCGGCAGCCGGCGGAGCGTGAGCCAGCCGTGTGCCCGGGTGGCCAAGAAGGCCAGTGGCATCCTGGCCTGCATCGGCAATAGAGTGGCCAGCAGGACTAGGGAAGTAATGTTCCCCCTGTATTGGGCACTGGTGAGGCCACACCTCACATCCTGTGCCCAGCTCTGGGCCTCTCACTACAACAAAGACATTGAGGTGCTGGAGCGGGTCCAGAGAAGGGCAATGGAGCTGGTGAAGGGTCTGGAGCACAAGTCTGATGAGGAACAGCTGAGGGAGCTGGGGTTATTTAGTCTGTATAAGAGGAGGCTCAGTGGGAACCTTATTGCTCTCTGCAACTCCCTGAAAGGAGGTCGTAGCCTGGTGGGGAGCGGTCTCTTCTCCCAGGCAGCCAGCAACAGGACAAGAGGAAATGGCTTCAAGTTGTGCCAGGGAAGATTTAGATTGGGTATTAGGAAGAATTTCTTCATGGAGAAGGTGGGTAAGCATTGGGCTGCCCAGAGAGGTTGTGGAGTTACCAACCCTGGAAGTGTTTAAGAAATGACTGGATATGGCACTTAGTGCCATGGTCTAGCTGACATGGTGGTGTTCAGTCAGATGTTGGACTCAGTGATCTCAGAGGTCTTTCCAGTCTAAATGATTCTGTGATGGTGTAAACCTTTTCCATCCATCCCTTCCTTAGCCACTTTTGTCACTTTTGGAGGGCCTGAACACTGCTCCATTTCCGTCTTTGCAATTATTTTTGTTCTCATTTGTCCCCAGAAGATGATCTTTTTTACTACTACTGCTCAAATCAAAATGCCAAGTGTTCGCTTTGCCTGGTTGCTATTTAAACACTGATTAGACACCAGGGGCCAAGAATGCTTTAATGGTCTAGAGATGTCCATTATGAAGAGTGACCATGGTAAATATGGATTATTTGGAAGAGAGTAATAATTAACTCTGGTATCTTGGGGGCAGGAAAGACCAGGGAAAATAAAACGTGTCATGATCCTCCATGCTTTTTAAGTCAGATCCCTTAATCAGGCATGATTAATATGGTGCACATAATAGGAACCTTTGTGTATGGGACATACTCCAGCTTGTTTAGATGAACAGGAAATAAATTCTCTCCTTTTTGCCTGATCTGGATCTTACCCAACATTTCTAGGTCACAGATGGACAAAAGGCTATTTCTAGTGGCCTAAGGAAAAACAGCAAAGAATAATCTTGTACTACCAGATTACAAACATAACTACATTCCATACTACATCATTATTCTTAAATTCTCATGTGACTAATCCTCTAGAGAGGGATCCTGTTGCTAAAATGGCTTTTTGACTGATAAAGAATGTCATACTTTTATGTGTAATCTCCTCCATCCTCTAATTACAGCATAAAATATGTGGCTGTACTGTACAAATTTACTAAATTAATGCAAAAATATTTTATGTCGTCTTCCTGACTGCACATGCCCTAATAGCTCATCAGTGTGAGCCCCTGTCAGAACAAAAGATGTCTCAGTAATTAGTGAGAAGAGTGAGCTCCTGCTTTCTGCAGTGCAGAGCGTGCCACTGTGACTGGGCTCCAGATGCAGTGCTGTAGCTTCACCAGCTCTGACCCCTCCTAGGGGTTTTTCCCTAGGTCTTTCTTTCAGTTTTTGTTGTTGCTATTGATTCTTCTGATTTCCCAAGAAGATATGTGAAACAGATAATATTTTATATGCACTGGGTTTAGGGCAGTGTTGTTTTAAGTGCAGCATCAAAATAAATTTGGGTAGTTTCGAGAGAAATAAAACCCATTTGTATGCTGTGTCCTTAGACACTTTAATTAAGAAGAGAATTCTTCCAGTGATTATGTATTACCAGCTTACTCTTAGGAGAGTGCAAATCTCTTTTGAGTATTTCTTAACTGAAGAGTTATGAATCAAAGAACCTTTGGTTTTCTTTTTGCGTGTTTTTGCCCTTCATACTGCAGGGAGAAAATTTCTGCTAAGTACAGAGGATGCAATGGATAAGGTGTTAGCATCCAAATCCAGTTCCTTGAATTAGGTCTGTATAATCTCTTTATGTGGCACCATTGCCATGAAGATAAAGATTGTAAAACGACATCAATAAGAACCGGATAAGTACTGGAGACAAAAATAAGAAAAGTAGCATCATATTTCTGACTTCACCTATATTTAAATATAGGGTGCATCTGGTTTCCAGTCATCCTACCAATAATGATACTTTTCTTGTAATTGGCATTTTTTCATAACACTTTACAATCACATTATGAAACCTAAGCACATTCAAAAAGCTGTGCCTTCTGCTTTTGTTTTAGCTTGCGTTGCTTTTAATGTGCATAAAAAGTCCCTGACTGATTTTAATATGAAGTAACAGATGTGTTAATATGAAATTCTAGTTGGATTGTTCCCGTGCGTATATTGTTTTGCCTTTATCACTCTCCATAACTCATATTAAAAACTTTTACTTAGATGCCACTGCAATGACACTTTGGACACAAACCCACAAAGTCTACTGGTGTTCATAGCTGTACTTTACAACTCTGAAGAAGCAGATGTGAGAGCTGGTATTTTACAGGGAGGAAAAGGGATTGCCATCGCACACCACCTCCACAGTGAAGTCCCACTGCTCATTTTATTCACACACCCTCCTTCTCCCTCTCTCACCTACTCTGTTTACTTTGAGGGGGTTTTTAATTTTCCCAACGATTGCACTCCTACTTAGTGCAACACTTCTAGCAGAGCTAGCAGCATGGTGGAGCTCTGTGATCTATCACGAATATCAGGAATTAGATATACCTTGAAAGAGAGATTTGTAAATGTGATCCCCTAACCTCGACGCATTACTGTAAGAAGTCAGGATTGCAGCAGGCACATTTGTGGTTAGTGCATGCACTCTGCTGCTTTTGATGACCTTGTCGATGTCCATGCCTTTACTATGTAATATTGTATTTCAGGCATAGTGTAGGAAAGTTTTGAGTTGGTTGCGTCAGACAATCAGCTCAATTATATAATGGAACCTGCTGATGAGAAAGCCGAAACCTGGCATTACTGATGTCTGTGTTTTAGAGGCAACTTGAGCTGTATTGCCAGGATTTATAACTACAGGGTCCTATTGAAGTTCTCAGGAGGGTAATTCATGTAATGTGTCTTTTTGCTTCGCAGCATAGCAATGGCTTGATTCACGGCCTCATATTTTATTCCACTGCAATTCTAGCAGAGTAGCAAATGGGTTCTGTGACTTTGTCTTGCGTTCTAGCAATGGCTTTTGTTTGTTTCTTTGCTTTTGCCGTGGGCAATTAATATTACCCTCTGCTCATTTGGGCAACCTACTGATTGCGTCCTTCTCTCATACACCATTCCTGCTAAGCTATCTCTTGCTTTATTTCTCACCACACTGCTGCTCTGTCTTCCTGGTGCCCTCCTGTTTGCCAGCTGGGATTCTGGGGTATTTGGGGGATGGCAGCAGGAGAAATGATAGGGCAGCCACAGGGGCTGCTTGTCAGCTAGGTTCTGCGGCTGGCCTGCCACAACCCTTGGTGTACAACATGAAATGGAGCTGTCTGCAGGCTGTGAAGGGAATACCTGTTGAAGGAGATCAGCCAGCTATCACCTTGTGACAATTGATAGGAGAGCACGAGACAGATATCCTGCTCTGAAAGGTTACTCAAACAAAAATCCCTTGTTCCTGTTTCCCCATTGACACAATCTGAGAAAAGAGACATAGCGGAGTGTCTCCCTCACAGTTGAGAGAGTCTTTTCAGGAAGGGTCTGTGAGCTCTGTGTTTGGGAAACATTGAGCTGTCTTTTTTTTCCCCCTTCACAAAGCCCTAAGTATCTCTTGGATAATGTTGTGTGGCATCTACATCGCTTCTTGCTGTGATACTTGGCCAGGGGTTTGGAATTAAAATTATTTTAGTTATAGTGCCACTGCACTTTATGAGCAAAGGAGTCATCATAATTAGCCACGTGTCCTGCCACCTCTATAATGCTACCCAGGCTGGTTCAGCGGGTATGCAGTGGATGGAATTTCTTCGGTACTGAATAGTTTTATACACACTCAGAGTGGTGGAATTTGCTTACTTGGACAAATCTGTTAAAAAAGATGAAATGCTGATGTTTCCTGAGAAGAACGTCAACAAAAGTTCACCACTGACATGGACAGGATTCAGTGTCTGTCTGCACAGAAAGGCTCCCTCTCCCACCTCACTAGGAGATAATGCAAAAAAGATTTAATTCTCACCCAAAGAAGGGAATATTTTGCATTTCAGCAAACCAAAACAAAGTCTGGTCTGTTTTTCTTTGACCAGTAATGGAAATCTTTTCAAGCAAGCGGTCTATTCCATTTAACAGTAACAGAAGTCTGTCATGGCAGACAGAGGGGTGGGTAGAAATTGCTGTAGTGGTAAGGTTTAAATGCAAGGGTAAAATTGTGAGAATAAAAATTGTGTAGAGAATTATCTTTTTAAATTTGACTGCCCTTTGCCATTTTACTTAAGATCTCTTTTAACCACAGAGCTATCTCACTTGTTTTGCTTTAGAATTCTACATTTCTTTTAGTATATACAAACTAATCTTACAAGCATCCCACCTTTTTTCATTATAAAGCACAAAAGCTGTTCACATTCTTGAGAAGGGCATTTTATGCAGTGTTTCGCTGGGAATCGCTCATTTAACTTTGTAAG